CAGGAATTCACGTAGAAACAGTTAAAAATAAAATAGGAAAAGGAAGAACCAAGGCCAAAATCAAATAACCTAACAAGCAAAAAATATCTTTTTTTTTCCTCAAGTAAGATAAAGTATTTCCTAAATGAACAAACACAATGGAAATGAAAGTAAAAGTCAAATGGAAGGGGAAGGGGTTTTTTGACCGGAAAACAAGAGAACAGAGGTAGATTAATCCCAAACAATATCAAATCTAATTTAGGCCAAAACTAAAAATCAGGCAAAAAGATTGAAAACAGGAAAATTTCCATTTTTATTAGAATCTGAATTTACAGTAACAGAAAAACCAGGCAAATAGCCAGTATTTGTACAAAAGGTATCCCTTAGAAATGAAACATACTTATGAAAAGTAGAGTCCTGTTTACAAGAAAAAAGGCAACACAAATCAAATTTAGGCAGAAGGCACAGCAGAGAATGAACAGTTCTCAGGCTTTAAGGGGCAGTGGCTAAAAAAATATGTATGCATTCTTCTATATTCTTCCTTTGCTTCTAAAAAATTTGAGGTCACAGACATGCCTGTAACCTTCGCAGCGTTCACCTAAATCATCAAGAAAGCGCACCTCAACCTGACTAAAGAAGTTAAACACTTAATACCAGCAATTATGCTATTCTATGCAGTTAATTTTGAGTGAAAGCAATTCGACTACCGAAACAAGCCTCTCTGCTTCCACTTAGGCTTCTATACATCAAAATACTACAGTGCAATTTTCACCTATCAGCCTCAGTTTAAAAGCCTTCAATGCCTGGCCATCCTGCCCAGTGGGTAAGGTTCTTCCTCCTCAGCCTGGAAGCAGAGCCCTAAACAATCTAGTCCCCCTCCACCTTACCTCCCACCCTACCATTCATTTCTTCATTTTAGCCACTTCAATCTGTTACTGATTAAACATTCCTAAATTTGCATGCAGGTTCCACCTTCTGCCGCATCTTCCCCTCTTCTTTTCTGTAAAGTCTAAGACAAGCCTCATCAATCCTTTTCCCATTACCCAACCTTCTGAATTCCTGCAACAAGTACCATCATTGAACTTAGTGTATGCTACTTTTCACACATTACTGTATTCCTGTTTTAAAAAATTAAGCCTCTTCCTTACAGTTCAATGGAGAAACTTGATTCTACACGATGACAACATAACATGAAAAGACTAGTAGTCGTCTTTAGCAGACATGGAGAACAGACTAACGCAACCTTGTTCTTTACCTTTTTATGCATACATCCTATCTCCCACTTGGACTGCACACACTTTGTCTTATACAAATTTGTAGTATGGTTTTTAGGACAGTGTTCTATACATAGTACAAGATTAATAAGCATTTATTGATGCTGATAAAGATGACCATGATAGGGTCAAGGATGGAAGCCTGACCTGAGCGTGTGTCTTGACATCCACCATGAGACTCAGGAGAATAGATCCATTTCACAGGTATCCTGCAGGCCTCTCTTGAGAGAAATGGTCTTATCACATATTTTTTCAGGAACGTTCTCTAGGATGACCTCCCAGATCTAGTTCCCTTAACTTTCTACTGATATTCTCTTGCTCTCCTAAATAGATACGTTCAGTTTTGGCTGGATTGGTTGGCACTTTGAAACTAAAGACACTTGATAAACAAAATGTGGTCTATCGATGTGATGGAATATTATTTGGCCATAAAAAGGACGATGTGATGGAATATTATTTTATATCCATAGGATGGAATACTTTTTGGCCATAAAAAGGAACAAAGCACTGATACGTGCTAAAATTTGGATGAACCTTGAAAATATTATGCTAAGAAGCCAATCACAAAAATCCACATGATTCTACATGTAATCCATTAACAAGTAAGTCCAAAATAGCTAAATCTATACAGAAATTAGATTAGTGGTTGTTTGGGGTTATGGGGAAAAGGAGGCAGATGAAGTTTCCTTTTGAGGTAATGAAATGATCTAACATTGACTGTGGTGATGAATGCTTTTATCTGTGAATATACTAAAGACCATTGAATTGTAAATTTTAAATGGGTGAATTTTGTAGTATGTCAATTTTATCTCAGTAAAGCTGTTTTTTAAAAAAGAAACTGAAAATAATTTGTCTGTGTCTTCATATAAATTAGTATGAATTTAGAAACCCACTTACTAAATCTAAAAAGCTAAAAATGCCCCTAAATATTCCACTCAAGTATCTCCAGGACTTATTTTTCAAGTGGCACCATTCTGGTTCCTCATCAATCTGAGCAAGAGAAAGATCAGGGGTAGGAAAGACAAGCACCAAACACAGCTCTCCTCTAAGCTTCAATTACCTTTCTGCCCACCTCTCACTAGAGCCCTTCCTGTCCTCTGTCCTAGTCATACCAGTGGTCCTAGTCATACCAGTGGTGACAATGACCCATGAATGTGCCTAGTATTTTTCATAGCTCTATGCTTTGGCTCGCCCTCGTGTAAATCCTTTTCCTTCCATCCTTCCACGAAGATCAGCTTCCTGTGAAACTTTTCCTAAACAACACAATCCTCACCGTCCACTGTATACAATCAGTCCTTCATCTGGGCTCCCACAACATGTGATTTATGCCCATTTTATGCAAGCCTTTAACAACAGTTCGTGCCTTTACAAACATATCTTAAGATTGTAGGGCACTTGCGAAAAAGGAGCATTCTTATTTTCTCAGTTTAACATTTTCTTAGCTAAGAGTGTTATACAAAGAGATATTCAATAACTTGATTAAAGAGAAATGTCTGTAAGCCATCTCATTAGATGAACAAGTTATAGTTGTCTATATATCTAAAGGATGCATAATAGTACTTTCCTCTAACCAGCCCTCAGACAAGTAACAGATGCTAGCAGACTGGCTACAGGTCCAGGGACGATTTTCATGGTGGATGGAAGTATAAGAACTAATGAAAGGTCCCTTACCAGCCAGCTGTCAAAAAAAAAAAAGTTAATGAAGAGTAATGACAGGCCCTCTCCAAGATGCTTTTTCTTTGTGCTGGGCTCAAGTCAGTGACCAAACAAAGGATGATTTGAAAGAGTTCTCAAAAGCTGCCTGTCCAAAATACCTCTTCCAGATTATACCAGTAACTACTGAAATGTCATCACTATTAGATGCTCATCCAGCATTCTCTTTTCTAAAATGACACAAAGGCCTGGGAGGGTAGTGTGGTTTGAAAACATGCCAGCCTGCTGAATGCACATTGATAAGCAAAGATCACGGTTCAGTTAGCCAACAAAGGGCAATGCCTGGATGCAGCATCACAGGGAGGTTCTGACCAAGCAACAGTAAAGAGAAAGACCGGAGTGCAGGAAGGAAGCAGTAGGAGGGAAGGACGCACTCAAAGAGAAGCTGGGAGTGGACCAACTTCCGAGGTTTGCCTGAGGCTGGCAGGAATCTAATCAGCAGCAGGCTGGCTGTCAGCAGAGAAAGAGGTATTTGCTGCTGCACTGTCCGAGTGAAGGAGAGATGGTTGGAGAAGAGGAGGGGAGAGAAGGAAAGCAAAAGGAAATATAACTAGGGCCTTAATAAGGAAGTGGCAACTACTTAACAGCAGCTGAGATAGTAAATTAATTCACATATTTATGAAAAAGTAGACAGGAAGTCAAACAGCCAGAAGGGACAAGGCAAGACTGGTCAGAGGGACGTGGCTATCAAGTAGCAGAAGTTAGCGCTTCTTGGTCAGAGCATGGTGTTATAACACCAAGGTCAAGGGCTTGGATCCCTATACAGGCCAGCTGCCAAAAAAGTTCGCCCTTCCTTCCTTCTCATCATCTTGACATTTTTCCCTGCCGTTGATCACTTTGCCTTTCCTTTCTCCTTTGTGCAAGCACATACCACCTCATCTCAGTTCTTAGCTACTTATGTGAGTAGGAGATAGTCACACTAGACATGTGATCTCACGGCCCTTCATGTCAGTCTTGGCCTGTGCCCCAGCCTCATCCCAAATTGCACACACAAAAAGTAAGGAAATTATTTCATCTTTCTCTTTATTCTAAAAACATTATGGTATGACATAAAGCACAAGAGGCTGGGCTGGTCCTTGTTTGGTCTCCAGCACATTAGGTTGAGGCAGTACTGAGCCCCCAGGAATGTGAGAGTATCATCTCAAAAAGCTAGTGGAAGCTACTGTGTGAAGCTCTAAGGCCCAAGGCAAATCCTGGGCATATCCATGGATATGTGGTAGGGCCTGGGCTCCAGCTCTCGGTGAAGAACGGAGGGGAAACAAACTGTTCTGAAAAGACAACCTGGCACCAGAAGGGCCTGGTCAGAGAAAGTGAGAAGATAAAAGATAGGGATCATCCTCTTCTTTCTGCTCCTACCTAGGAACAGAGGTACGTGACCCTAGCAAGGAGCCAAAGTAGGTATCAGCTACTTGGATCCCATAGGGAGACGCCAGATCACTCCAGGGCTGGTCAGCGGGCATTGTCAGGGGGTGGAATGCTAGCCACAAGAATGGAGACAAACTGCTCCAATTTCTGTGCAGCTTGTTTCCCTGCTTCTAGCACTTCCTCATGATTAGCCTTCTCCAGGTTTTCATAATCCATGACGACCTTGTTAGTGATGAGTGAGAAGCCGAAGACTCGAAGTCCACAGTGCCGAGCAACTATAACTTCTGGTACTGTGCTCATGCCTGTGGGGAGAGGGGAACCAACAATCAGGATCCTCAAGTGACTCTTCTCCTCACCCTTTAGCCTCACCTTCATAACTTCATTGAGAATTTAAAGTCTCAAAAAAGAAATAGCTAAATTAGCACTGACCTCACATTGTTCTGTATTGCTTAAAATAAGTGGGGCCTTGGAGGACTTTACATGTCTTACAAATATCATGAATGCAATGCTTTAATTCTGTATTTGGCAATT